GGAATGTGGAGAAACAAAGCTGAAGCCCTGAATGATGGCACCGGATTTTTTAGGTTTGCAGGCACATTATTGTTTAAATCCACTTTGAAATATCCACTTGGAATGGATTTTTATGCTGCTTTGTAACCCAAATAACGTTTCTAATAACCTAGGCACAACACCTCTTGAATGATTTCTTCTAGTTTCCACAGCCATAGCCACAGCCTTCCTTCAGACTCTCACAACACTGGTTGAGAGAAGTGCAACGACTTTCTAACCTGGTCTCTGCCTTCCTTTTCTTCTTACCTTCATCATCCTCCATGTTGCTCCCCAAATGATCTTCTCAGGCATATCTGATCACTGCTGCTAGGTGCATGACCCTACAGGCTCCATGCATTGGGAATAAAGGCTAATGGGTCCAAGTTTGCCAACTGAGTTTTACATTTATTTTTGATAGAAAAAGAAACAGAGCATGAGTGGGGGAGCACAGAGAGAGAGGAAGACACAGAATCTGAAGCAGGTTCCAGGCTCCAAGCGGTCAGCCCAGAGCCCCACGTGGGGCTCGAACTCATGAACCATGAGATCATGACCTGAGTCAAAGCTGGTTAAGCCGAAGTTGGATGTTTAACCGACTGCGCCCCCTAGGCGTCCTGCCAACTGAGTTTTTAATACCTTAGTTCTACTCACGAACAAGACCCTTAGTATCCAGCCAGATTTTGTCCGAGCTAGCACTTCAGCCCAGAACATGCTTCGCTCTCTATCTGCTTAATAAGAATACCACTTCTCCTTTCCACATCCAGCTCTAAACTTGTCTCAGAATTCTAAGTGTTTAGGTTTCTCCATCTGATAACTACTCATTAGGCTACAGTCTGGTAGGACAATTTTATGTCATGATAGCTCCCAGTTCAGTGCGTTAGGGAGTTGGGGTGTTTTATCTGTCTGGCCTACCCACTACAGTAGGATGCGAGGAGGTCAGGGGCCTTGTTTTTTCATCTTGAATGACTCACTGCATCTTGCCTAGCTCTTTTCATAGACAATAAAGGTATGCTATATAGTTAGTTGACTAGAGACAAAACTTCCTCTAGGGAATGACTTGGAGACAGTTACAGGGTAAGTGGGAGCAGTGAGGGGAGTATAGCTGTTGAAGGAGTTTTAGAAATGCAGGTTAAGTATATTAAGTTTAACCAGTTTTAGTGCACTTTTGAGTAGATGAAGGTTTCTCTTGCTGTTTTTCTAAAATCCCTTGTATTCTTTCCACATTGTTTATTTTTTAAACCATTTATCTTTTTATTCATCTCCTTTTCTTTTGTGGGGGGTGGCTGTTGGTTATGAAATAGTATGCAACTTGAGAAGAGAAGAAATAGAATTAAGAGGTGGTTTGCTTTCATTTCTCTTCTCCAACGCGATTATTCAGGTATTCAGGAATACCTTTGCTAGCAAAGCAATGAAGCCCATATACTAAAGTAGTGGCTTTAGATATTTTTTATAGTAACCTCTTAGGCACATACCATGTTGTATATACACACCTGGAACAGACTTTTGTAAAACAACACTCACTCTTAATTCATGCCATGTATGTTGGTCTTCTCTATGTTGTTCTGTCTTACTTTGAACAAACCCAGTAAATCCATTTCATGACCATTAAAGAGTTGAGATCTGAAAATTGAAAACCGTGACACTAAGGAGTAGATACTATACTTGCTAGGTCACAGTCAGTGGATGAACACTGTGCCAAAGTACATCTGCTAATACTATTACATTTAATCTGTCACAATAACTTTATGATAGACTATTATACCCATGTGACGGATGAATAAACTGAAGCTTGGGGATACTTGGGGGTTATGACATGGAAGAGCTGAGACTCAGACACAGGTAGACCATGCTTCTGTTAGAACTCAGTGGCATGTGCCATGGCTTGAGGTCACAGCCAACTGTGGAAAAGATCCGCACATGTTGATCTTTTAAATCGGAAGCACACGCAAGGGAGGATGAGACCACCAGGGTGCAGACAAAATGGTCAATACACAACAACTTTGTTTCCCCTCTGGAACTCTATTTCTGCCCTATTTTCTCAATCTGCAAGTCCTTCCCCACATGAAAAAACCCTTAAAATAGAACATTCAAACTACTGCAGAGAAAATAATTTTATGATTAGAAGGAAAACTTTCAGAAGGCTGGCACTAAAGTTTTTGAGTCCTCTTTAACAAAATTCTGTGGACACTAAGAATGAAAGCTTTATTTATTTATTTATTTATTTATTTATTTTACCTTCCGTTTTCCAAAACCCCCGAAACATCTAAAAATAGATGAAATAAAAATTCTGTGCTATTGTGTGCCTATATCCAATAAGGAAGGTTTGTTATGGTTTGTTAACCATATGGTTTGTTGGGGCACCTGGGTGGCTCAGTCGGTTAAGCGTCCGACTTTGGCGCAGGTCATGGTCTCATGGTTCATGAGTTCGAGCCCCAAGTCAGACTCTGTGCTGACAGCTCAGAGCCTGGAGCCTGCTTCAGATTCTGGGTCTCTGCCTGGAGCCTGCTTCAGATTCTGGGTCTCTGCCTCTCCCCCAGTCGTGCTCTGTCTCTCTCTCAAAACTAAATAAACATTAAAACAATTAAAAAAAAACCACCGTATGGTTTGTTAAGGTTATTAAAGTCATGGCACATGCCACTGAGCTATAAGCAGAAGCATGGTTTATCTGTGTCTGAATCTTAGCTCTGCCAGGTAGTGGCTTTGTGACCTCAGGAAAATTATTATACGTCCAAGCCCTGGTGTTCTCATCCATAAAATGTTATAATAGTGAAGCAATACTATGACAGCACCTCTTAACACATTCATAACAATGAAGTGACTGCTTTCACGATTGGGTAAATTAAGGCAATTATCCCTTAGGGTCTAGGATTCAGGTGACAAGGGGCCGGTGGCCTGTTGGCCTGTTTCAAATCACACTGAACATTCACTGCCAACATTTGCCAATAATGATATCAGGGTAAAATGAAACCTTAAAGAGAGCCGGATTTGAAAAGGTATGACAGCTGCACTCTTCAGTATAAAGTGTGCATCTTAAGAATAAAGATAGATTCTTGATCCACCTATTTAACAAATAGTTATCAAACACCTCCAGATACCACCACCAATGCCAGACATTGCATTAGGTGTGGGTACATAGAGCGAACAATATTCATGCAGTCCCTGCAGTATGGAGTCTACAGTCTGGTGGAGAAGACAGGCAATATAAAAGTAAACGTATTAACAAAAGGATCCCAATTGGGAAAAGTGCCACTAAGGACATAAAGCTGATGTGGCAGAGACTAATAAGAGGGATGCTCACTTTAGACAGAATAGTTAGGAAGGGCTCTAGGAAGAGGTGATATTTAGGCTGAGACCAGAAGGATGTTAAGGGACCAGCTGTGTGAACAACCAAGAGAAAAATCCTGGGACCAGTAAATGCAAAAGGCCCTGAGTATGTGGGACTGTGTATCATGATGCTCTGGACTTCTTCCACACACACTGACTAATCCCTTCTCTTCTGTCCTGCCTGCTGCTTTTCTGACTCAGCCTTGCAGTGCATGTGGGGCTCCAGTTCAGGGTCCTTGATGATTGCGTCCTTTGATATATCAACCTAAAATTATTCCAGGAGTCCTTCCTTTTCCACATATATTCCACAGGCTGTACCTTGCTCACTGTGACTTCGCCATTCATTCTGATTTTGTTACCTACATTTTTGCCTTAGGGCCTGACAGAAGAGATGTTGATACAAAGTAGACTCTCAAATATTATTTGCTAAATTTTTTGATGCATTTCATTAGATCATCAAGGAACTGTTATTTTTGTTTGTAGTTTTGTCTGCTTATTTATTTTAATATGGGCAGGATTGGGGGAGATCAAACGGGTGAAATTTGAAGAAGAATGGTACGGCTTTCTAGAGTGGCATTCAGTTACTGGAGGGCTACTTCTGCCTCTGTAATTCATTAGTGATGTGACCTTGGACAAGCCATCCCACTTGAACCTTGACATCTTGAACCAAACTCCAGGATTTGGTCCAAGCACCCTTCAATGTCTGTTCTTTTCTATGACTCATTGGGCTTCAATATTGGCCACTCCTTCCACATTCCTAGGAAATAAATGTTATTTTTAGACATCAACTTAGTTTATGCAATAATTATACCTTACATTTCATAAGAATTTGTCATTTTCAGAGTATGTTAATCTCTACCAATTCATTGGATTTTAACCAGTCATGTAAAGTATGGAAGACAAGTTATTTTTTTTTTTTTTACATGTGACAAGATGTGAAATTTGTCCAAGGTCACAACACAGTAGAAAGGGGAATGACACTTGTATATACTGTCCTGACTGTATGTGGCACAATTAATTGGATAGAATCCCTACCGTGTGAGTGGAATAGTGTTTATGCCCTAGAATAGTGATGACTCCTTTTTTTTTTTTTTTTTGATGTTAAGGATTGTTTTGAAATGCTGAAATCAAAAGAATCTTTTTTTTCCCCATAAAGTTTTTAGTTGTAAGAATCAGAAAAGTCCTCAGGTTAGCTCACTTAGGGAAGGGGAATATGGCAGGAGTAGCAGTCTTATGGACAGGAGGCAAGGTGGCCTCTATAATAAATGGGAATAAACTTTATAATAAATGGTAAATAAACTCATTTCTTCCTAGGACTCAACTGTCTACTTTTCTCAGAACTTCTAAGATCTTTCTTATCTAAAGAGCAGTTCTCTCTGCTTACTCATGGTTCTTGCTTCCCTATAACCATGGCTCACATGGCTTGGCTTCCTGACACTCTGGCCAGCTGACTCCAACAAGTCAGATCATAGACCACTCCTCTTTTAGTTCCTGTGATCCAATCAGCTGGGGCTGGTGAAACTGGGACAGGAAGGTTATAGAAAGGTCATATGGTACCCACATCAAGTTCTACCTCTGCATCAGGACTTAAGGACAGGATTTTTAAGGAACAGAGTCCATAGAATGGAGCAGGCATCCCCAAACCTATCTGCTACACTTACCTATTTATCCAAGTTTCACAAAATTTTACTGAGTCTTCCTTTCTAAGGTGTCTCCAATCTTCGTAAGCATAACTTCGTAGATATACCTATTCTTCTTATAGTTCATGGAAAACAAAACAAAACAAAACAAAACAAAACAAAACAAACAATCCACATTTGTCCCTTAATTTAAGATAGGAAGGGTGGTTGCATGGTTTTCTGACTGTGGGATGCAGTTAAAAAAAAGTGCTAGCAATCACTTGGGGGCAATGAGGTCCCCCACCTGATCCTGTCAATTGTTTCTGGACAGATCATTTATTCCCCTTGAAATTCAGGAAAGGGAGGCTTTTGCAATCTAACTAGAAACTAGAAAGAATCTTAAGGGATTATCTAATCTAGCCTCTGTATTTTACAGTAAAACACATTGACCTCAAGCCTTAGGTCACAGAGTTGATTAGAGGTAGAACCAATGGAATACTTCTCGTAAACAAATGTTTGTGAAGTTTTTATTACATCATCTCAGTACAGCCCTGTAGAGGCTTACTCTGAGAATCACAGATAATGATTGTAATAATGCAGCATAAAGTAGTGTCTACATGTAAACTTTAAGATGAGAACATGGAATGGGGATGGAAAACAGGAATCTTCACAATGTGTGAATAGACAGGAAACAACCTAAAAATGCTCTAATTCTTGTTTTCTAAAAGGTTACATATAAACAAAAGATCTTGAAGATTGATCTGAACTCTCTTACTGCCACAAAATTGCATCAGAAAATGGAGATTAGGGACGCCTGGGTGGCGCAGTCGGTTAAGGTCCGACTTCAGCCAGGTCACGATCTCGCGGTCCGTGAGTTCGAGCCCCGCGTCAGGCTCTGGGCTGATGGCTCAGAGCCTGGAGCCTGTTAATGATTCTGTGTCTCCCTCTCTCTCTGCCCCTCCCCCGTTCATGCTCTGTCTCTCTCTGTCCCAAAAATAAATAAACGTTGAAAAAAAATTAAAAAAAAAAAAAAAAAAAAAAAAGTTAGGCAGTTCCTGCACTGCTGCCAGATGGTATAGGAATGTGGTTGAATGTCAACTCTGATCCTAGACTGCCTGTCTTCAAAGGTGAGTGCTATCACTTATTAAAATTGTGTACTTTTAGGCAAGTTTGTATCATTTTCCAAAGTGCCCTGGGTCAAGCTACTCAACATTGCTTGCTTCTGATTCTCTGTATGTAAAACATAAAAGATGTCATATAAATATATATAAATATAACAAAATTGTAAGACATACTCTATAGAGTCATTCGCAGGATTAGAACAGCCAATACTTGAGAAATTCTTGAACAGTGTTTGGCACATAGTAAAGCCACTATGTAAGTGTTAACCTATCATCATTATTACTCTTTTCTCCGGTGGGAGTACAATTACACTGGTGGAATAGAGAAATCTCCATTTAAAATCCCGTGGGCTAGATTAGTGATATCAGTTAGTTTAGCTGGAATTAGAGATGGAAAGGGAAATTTTCTTCTCTGGTGACCCCATCTTTATCCCTTTAACTCGGGAAATTCGGAAGGTGATCACGATTTGCATGCCACAGACGAGAAAGCAGGCTAGAGAAGGTAACTGCTCGCCCAGAACTAGAAGTTGAGTCAGTAGTGGTTCAAGGTACAAACTCGACTTGTCTAAGACGCTATAACCTAAAGTCTTCTCCAAGGGAAGACTTTCTGGACTTAGGAAGT